AAACAGAATTAAGCAACGTGATTGGTTAATTCACACTTAAGTCATCTTTTTGAGACGATTTAGTGGTTAATTCTGTTTTATCTTTTTGGTCTGTTTGGGACCTTAGTCAAAGAAAAATAGATTTGATAAAAAGTTCTATCATGCCTCTGCGATTATGATGGCATGTCAACAAGACAAAGAAGAAAGCAAGACTATAGTCTAGATTTTCTGTGATAAATTGCTTTATTTAATTGGGTAGCATCATATTTATCGCTATTATTATTGGCTATTAGATTCTCTTGAGTCTTCAAATAATATATATATATATATATATATATATTTTTTTTATAAATATATACTTTAGTGTTAGATATTTATTTTTGACGAGTTATGAAATAAGTATAATTTATTTCTTTAGTTCTGTGAATTATAGATGAATAAACTTACGAGGGAACGTTCCCAAGTGATTCACACCATTTCGATTCATCTTTTGCTGGTTTGTAGGGCTCATCATATATATGACATATGTGAAAGTGTTCGTGCCATTGCTACTCGGTTTCAAAGTATGAGCGAAACAACTGCTTTGATAGATGGTGCTACTATCTATTCATTAATGTTTCGTTCTTTCGACCCGGTAGCTCAAACATACTTCTCGAAACTTTTTTCGTTCGAGCAAGTTGAGTATATTCGTATTATAAATATCTATGGGGAAAATCATCCCCTAGTTGAGATATGAAAAGAAGAAAAAAATAGCACATAGAAGGTGACACCGTCTATTGTAACATATTTCCGCTCATAACTCTTTGAAACCGACTCGCAATGGCACGAATCATTTCAGGTATTTCATATATATGACCGGCCCTACAAGCCAGAAAAAGATGAATCCAAATGGTGAGAATCAGTTGAGAATGTTCCCTCGTTAGTCACGGAACTCAAAGATAAGAACTCGTGTATACATAATTTGTTTTCCTCACTTTTCTCACAATTAATGATATCAGTCTGTGATTGTGTTTTCTTTGTTTACTCCTATTTACTAGTAATAGAACTTAGTGATGAAAAAGGATTCATTGGTTTGATCTTCTTCCGGTAAGACTAATCTATTTTACTATTAATTTCAACAGTTCTGTTTTAGAGCTCACAGATAATTGTAGTCAGTAACGAAGCCGCTCACAATACCAATCCATCGAGTTAATCGAATGAATAAACTTAACCAACTCAATAATGCTTTTTAGCAATATTACGTATCAAAAATAAAATGGCCAAAGATAGGCTAAATTTAGTATTTTCCGGTCAAAGCAATAGGCGGCAAACATTACTCCAACCATTGCTTATTGCCTTGACACTCTCTTTTATTGTGTACAATTATATATAATTATGTATACCCAAATCGATTTTTTGCGAATCCTTTTAATGGATAGAAGTTTGCAAGAAAAGATAAACAGAAAGAAAAAAAACTCTAGTGCACTCATTGATAAGAGAAAAAAGAGCCAAAAGTCTTCATATTTTATTCTACGTCTTTCAGCTTCTTTGATGAATTAATGGTTAGTCTATTTATCGTATGATTTAACTTTTTTTTTTCTATTTTTATCAGCAAAAAGTCCAATTGATCATCACGTATAACAAACAATTGTGTTTTCTTTACTAATCTAATGGTAAGAGTTACGATAGGTCATTACGTAATCCGTACTATGTAGGCGTTTATATTATTCTTGATTTGTTGAGTTGACTTTTTGAGAAATATTATTTTATTATTACATGATTCTGTTTTTGGTGAGTATTGAAAAATTGCAGTGACTTTCACATACAAAAATTTTCTTTCATAATTTGCGATGAGTAATTTTTAATCTTAATGCTGCAAAATGATCGAGATACTTTTATTTTAGTTGATAGGAAAAGAATTGACAAAAACCAGATATTCGTTATTCATGATATTATTAAAAAGAAAAATTTCAGAGCAGCTGTTAATATCATTAAAAATGCTCGGATCTCCTCTATTGACAAATGAAGAAAAAAACGTTTCTCCATAGATAGAATTGTAAAAGCTTTAGTCAACGCAATTACTAATTTCTTGGAAGACCTAAAAATCGAACTTTTAAAATTATTTGCGAAACCATTATCAAAAATATTTAGAAGTGTGAGTACTTTTAGAATGAAAGATTAAAAATTTTTCTTCTTGACAGCAATACGACCTTGCTATTAGCTTATGGCATTCATTCCGAAAATATTTTCTAATTTTGCCGACAAGATCAATGACTTTAAAATATTTTTATAAATTGATATTCTTTTGATATAGTATTTCTAAGATAGAAAATCAAGAGTGACTGAACGGCTTCGAGTGCGTGCCTCTTTTCGGGTTTGCAAAATAAACCCTCATCAGATTTTCTCAAGGGAATGAAGAAATAATTAGTTTGTTGTTAGTCGTTTCCATTTAGCTTGGAAATTAAATTTTATATCTAACTTCGCTCTATCTTGTTAGTTTATTCAAGCGTTGAATCTTATTTTTGTGGTATCTAAAAGTTGCAGAATAGATAAAAACAAAAGAAAAGTAGTCAGTTCTACGTCAGAATTGTTTTTGATATTTTGACACGTGTATACATGCGAATAGACATCTATATAGTTCTATCATTATAAGAATTCTACAATTAACTCAACTTTTGTATTCTGTCTTTTTAGAATATAATCAATCCCATGAAGTGCTGTTTATTCAAGAGGTCAAGATGTATTGAAAGATGAGAAAAATTCGAGTACATATGTCATTAGAAGATGTGTTAGAACTCTGTCTCCATCGGTTGGTAGTATAATGTCAAGTTTGTTTTTCATAAACAGGATATCTTCTTTTATTATCGAGTGTACTAGTAAAACTCACTAAGGCCATTTCTCGTCCTACAGTGAAGTAAATATTGGCTGTTTCCCGAAAGATAGCGGTCGGGAAAAAGCGCAGAAATATACCGAACAGGAAGAAGTTAATATAAACTCGAGAACTTTTTTCAATGTGAATAATATCGGCCGTTTCTTATTTTTTTTTGTAGCATGATTAAATAAGAAATTGAATAAGAACATTTTGTTATAATATTTAGGTAATGTTTTATATCAACAAACTCTTTTTTCGTTATAGTAACAAAAGCTTTTGGTAGAACTGGTAGACGAGAACAATAAAATACATAGATGACAGTATTTACAGTTATATCAACAAAAAATGTTTCTTTGGTGTAAAAGCTCATCTTATGCAAGACAATAATGTTTAAAACGTGTCGAGTGTCGCTATCACGTGTTTCAATAGCCTATTGACGATTTATATCTTGCAGGAAAGGAAAAGGACTTTCTTAAATTATTTGCTGTCGTTTAAAATGTGTTTACTATTTTCAAAGAAGACACATTATATATATATTTAGTTTAGGTTTTGGACATAAACCATTCCCTTTACTATTGACATAAAATATTAATATACCTATTGAACTAATTAGTTATTCATTTTCATGAAAAACATTCAGCCAATTTTAGACAAATTCATTGAAGCCTGAAAGAAAAAACTAGTTTTTAGAGATTTTTTAGTGCCGAGCGGAGCGACATAGCGTTCTAAGCTATTTATTTATATACTACAGGTTCAATGAAGTTTTCCTAAGAAAATTTTATTCGCATGATTAGGTTTCTATGTCAATAGAGGAAAAAGAGTACACAAACTTGGGGTTAGATATTTCACAATCAAGGACATCTCTTGTTCAATTAATATGTGTCTTACAGAATATAATATGATGTGTAAATTCACAACATTAAAGTTGAAAGCGCACAAGTGTGTATTTGTACTTGTTGAAATGGAACATGCCTGCCTTTTTGAGCTTATCCAACTGTTCAGAATGATGTTCTAAGATGCTTATCGACAATTAATAATTTTACCTTTATTGACATCGGAATTGTATTTATGCAACTTTCTCTGAAATCGTTCAATTTTTCCTTAAATACACTATCAGATTGATCAAATTAAATCTTTTGTTCTTGATTAGTTTTGTTCACTGTATATTCTATTGTTATCTAATTTATTCGCGCTCTCTCGTATTGTATAATTCATATACGTGTAGTTTCATGCCTTTTTCACCGCTTATCGTTCGTGATTCACAACGTCGATTTATTTCGATCTACACCCGCACCACTATTTCGAGCACTAAGTCGCTCCGCTGGGCACTAAAAAATATAGAAACTAATTTTTAGAAAATTAAGGGTTTTTCAGGTTTCGATGAATTTGTCTAAAATTAGCCCGAAAATTCCATGGACCGAAATTCATGTAACCCTTTTATTAATGTCGAATCATAATAAAATGTAAATTATAAAGGACATTCGGATTGCTATCTTTATAATGTTCGATAGCTATTGTGATCGGCCAGGAAGCAGATTAGAAAACTTTAATAGACTGGATTTTCTGTGAGAAGAATTTGACTGATTTCATAGAACTTAGGATTTAAAAGCACTTTGTCCTATCCGATAAGTTGTTGATAATAAAGTAATCTTACAAGGCTCAAAGAAGAAAAAATAGCTACCTCTGATCTTCTACGTCACAAGAAAATAATGTCGGTAATGTGTAAACATGTCAATTCGTCATAGTTCAGAAGATAGTTTTCTTTTTCTTCTAACGAGTTTACATAAGAATTGACTCAGCATGTTTTTCTACCTAGATGATCGAATAATAAGCCAGAAAGAAGAGAAAAAAACCTTTTTCTCTTTCTTCATCCTTTGTAATCTTCTATTTAGAACGCGAGAGAGCTGTAGAATAAGGTTTTTTGTTTGGTTTCTAGAAAGAAAAATTTCTGTTTTTCAAATTTATTCTACAAATAACAAAAAATAATAACTCTATAAGTACGTATTTTTACAATTGATGAGGACATAAGTCACTTGAGTAGCTTATGAAAGGATGGTTATTTAAAAGCAAAAGAGAAAGCGAAGAGATCGATTTTTATAACCTTCACAGTCTCTTAATAAGATTTGAGAAATAAGTAAGCAATAAATTATACGTGATTGGATTATTGATAGATTAATATGATTATATTTATTACATCTTCAATAACGTAACATCCATTATCATTACACAATGTATCTATCCAATAGGACGGCAAGCGGAGTGCAGCCTTCAATCTTGTTAGATTGTTATTTTTTTTGCGAGTTATATTATTTTTTGTTTCATGTTACCAAAACCTTCGCTCTATCCATTAAATCTAGTCAACTGTATAAAAAAAAACGTGTAATCTAGATCTTGATTGATCAGTCTTTTTCAATAAACCCTAGAACTTTAAGAATATTGATAGGCTTTCTTTTTTTTTCTGTATTGTTCTTATTTACATTAGCTGCATGATATATATATAGATACATCTGAAACAATGAAAAACATTATTCTGAAAAGAAAAAAGCGTTCTAACACCACTTGTGTTGACAATGTTTTTGCATCAACAGAGATAGTTACCTTTTTATTTACGGTCCGTTGCTCTCATTGTACATCACAAAATAAAAAAATTTTCATTTATAATTTTAGATGAAACTTAGATATACGATCATCATTATTGTTTTACAGTTGCTTCTATCGTGGATTAGTGCACAAAATAATGAAACCATTGAAATGGAAGTTATGGCTAAACCACAACCAAAAGGTATTTGAAAAACTCTTCTTGTTTTACTTTTAAGTCAAAAGAAGTAAAATCAAGGCAGATAGAAATGAAAACTGAGAAGTTTCGGGATATTAAATTTGATTAATATGTAAATCCCAATGTCGACGTTATGATGCAGATTAAAAATAATTCAGAAAAATTTTAATTATTCGTTGAGTGACATTAAAATAAATCAGATATAGTCCATAAAGAAGAAAAAATTCAAAATCTTGCTTGTTGAATTTTATAAATCCGATTAACAGAGAAAAAATACTCTAACAAATTATTTTTAATAATTCTCTTAGTATTCAATTATTGTTATTGAAATCATCGATGACAACAAGGCTGATATCAGATATAAAAAATGTGGAAACTTCGGATTTCATTCGAGAGTTATGTGTACTGCAAAAAGTGCATGGGACATATGAGTCATTCTAGAATGTCGGAACACGATAATTATCATGAGAAACTAGGCAATTGGATTTCTGGATGCAATTTTTGTGCATTTTGAGACGTTTTTCAGGCGATGTTTCGTTAGAAAGCTACGGTTTAGTTCAAAATTAATATCAGATTTAGAATCAGCGTTAAAAGCTGAGTCGATTTATATATTTTGTGGATAATTCTGAGAAAAAAAAGCTTTTTTAAAAAAATCCCTGTACTCCCCCTCAGGGATGGTCTGATCAAAAATGACAATCTTTTCGATAACTCAGCCATTTCTCGACGGATCCTTCTCATCTTCGAACTCGAACTAGATATTGATGAGGCAATTCTGTGCACAAAATTTCAGCTCAATCGAATGTAATTGTGAAGAGTTTTCGAATAAACGGACGACCGGACACACTGACCGATTCTATATTGTACTCGTTTTTTTTTTGAGTACACAAAAATCATGTTCGAATTGCAAAGCAATGCTAATTCGATGGGACAGATATTTGAAAAGTTCTAAATTCAGTCTATTTAACATGAAAAAATGAATTAGCATAAATTCATTTTCCTACGAAGAATGAAGTCAGTATAGAACGACTAATGTAAAAGAATGGATGCCTGTCTTATTTTTATTTCGGACGTAATTATACGAAAACCTTGTCTATCTATTTTATCCGCTCAATCGAACAAAGTATAATCATCTAATGTTTACGTAGTTTGTCGGTGATTAACTAAACATCTTGAAGGTTATCCATTAATGTAGAAGAGCATATTGATAAAGAATACAAAAAAAAAAGACTCACTCGTTGACATTGACCTATTGAAACCTTTGAAAAGATACTTTTTAAAAAAAGATGTCAATGTTATACAACGATGACGTCAATCTGTCTAATAGAATCTAGACTTTTTCATATGGAATGACCTGTTTGTAATTATAATGCATTCTTTCAATAAAAGTGCATATGCTTCCTTTTCATTTTGTATTATGACACCTCATTGTGTTTCATCTACCACGAATTTTCTATATTCGGCATTGAGTTATAGCTTTTACTAATTCTAATTGTTGTTCTCTTAATAAGTGTCATAAAAATCGATAGTTGTTATACCTTCTGTAAAGATTCGTTAATCGAATGTGTCAATTATGCATTTTTCTTATAGTATGTGGGGATGTTCACATTACAATATTTGAAGTACGACGAGGTCTTGATATGAAATTATATGCATCTTGTGAAGTTATCCTTGGCTCAATCATATATGCTCCAATGCCATTAACAAATAATATAACCACAACACCATCATTACCGGTTCGATTTCCGTATCTTCGTGAAGTTCATGGATATATGCTATTAGGTTATTCATTAGTACGCTCGTTTTCTTTAATGTTTCCACGTTTATCGATTATTCATGGCCGGGTTCTCTATCATGGTTATGCACTCATTATCATGGAGAATTTACAATTAGATGAATTAGGTTTAACATCATTGATTAATATTCGTCGAGGCAATGTTATTATTGCGCGCAATGCTCAATTGTGTTATGCAAATTCTATTCGTTGGCATGATATAATTGAAAGTCCAAAAGCACAAGTTATATTACGACAAAATCGAGATGATTGTGCAATTTGTCCAACATGTCCATCGGCATGTTGGTCACCAACACAATGTCAACAACAATGTTCAGTACATTGTAAAGGAAACTGTTTATCTGAAGCGATCTGTTGTCCAGATCAATGCGTTGGCGGTTGTTATCAAAATTCAACATCAAAAAATTTAATTTGCCATGCTTGTAAACATATGAGAATTTATGAAACAGGTCAATGTGTTCAAAAATGTCCATCAGATATGCTTAAGGTAAGTAAAACACAAAAAAATGTCTTCATTATTAATTTATTACAATTAGAAAAAAAAGACTTAATGTCGAAAAGATTAGCCTAAAAGATGACAAAGCTATTTTATATGTTTTTATAAGTATGAATTAGTGAGATTTGTTTATTAGTAGTGTATAATAAATTTTAACTGTTGATTGGTCACACTTCTATTCTATTCGGATTGATGTCCAAAACATCTTATTTTCTATTGAGTTTTCTTACAAAAAACGCAGATAATTAGTTGAATCTAACATGAATCAACAGAGTATTTGTTTTTTTCATAATGACTGGAAATTAATATGAGATCTATTCTCGATAGGTTTATAAAAATATATTAATTCAAATGAATATGCGAAAAAAGTTCAAAAAACACCTCAGTACTGTCTTAATGAAAAATAGGTCAACCAGTGGAGATACTCAGTCTCATGAGTATGTTCAGAGCAAAGTCGACACTTCATGATGATTTCCATTACTAAATTTAACAAAAAGAAATATTTATATGGCGATCTTTCTATTGTAGGTTATCGATTCTTTATGTGTAAAACATCAAGAATGTAAATCATTTTTCATGGGTTATGGCTTTATACTAGATGAAAATAATGAATGTGTATCAACGTGTCCATCGGGCTTTGACATAAAATTAGATACATCTTGTGTCCGTTGTATGTCAGCACCAGAAAATGATTATTGTCAAGGTGCATGTCGAGAACAACATATTCGTTCGATAAGCGATTTTCATTTGCTAAGATATTGCTCACGTATTCATACATTAAATATTTATAATATAGCTGCACTCGAATCAACTGAAACCAATTTAGCAGATGTATTTACTGCATTTGAATCTCTTGAACAAATCGATCATGAATTTACCATACATAATGTAAATATATTTTCAAGTTTAAGTGTTTTTTCTAAACTTAAACGTATTGGTATAACATCGAATGCAACCATAACTATTGAAGAAAATGATTTTTTAACTGAATTATGGTTGCCAGCTCATCCGCCACCTGTCATTCAAGGAAGTTTAAACATTGTTCGAAATGCTCGTCTTTGTTTAAAACGTATTGAAGAATTTATTAATCATACTATTGCAAAAGAAAAAGGTATTTGAAATAAATCATTTCGTCACGACGGAAAAAACAACAAACCTTAATCGCCTTTTTGTTTTAGATTTACAAATTACACAAAATACTTATAACGAATATGCTAATGGATATTTGGCATCATGCGAATCAAATCTATTGACATTAACTGTTAATAACATACGTTCATTAACAGCACAAGTTACTGTTGCAATACCAAAAGAATTATTTTTTCAACCAGGCGATAGAGCCGATTATTTACGTCGACCATTTTTGTCTGTTTATTACAAAGCGACAAATACAAAAAATGAAACTCATTTTGATCAAACACAATCACGTAAATGGCTACGAATCGTTGAAAAAGTCAATTATAATCCATCACCAAGCGGTAAAAATTTCATTTTTTTTCGAAGAGAAATCCATAGAAATAATATTATCTATCTTGTAATATCGATATTCCTTCAAAAAAGCAAACGTTTTTTTTTATAGGAGTCATAAATCGTTTCGTTTCTTAGATCTTTTTTTCGTATCACTATAGAATTTTGATATTTATTTTATTTCCGGGTATGATAGTCGTCGAGAATATCATTAGTGGTGCAGACCGGATATATTGTCGTCGGAGAACAGTTGAAAAGATTCTAGTTTCCTATTCGTTTTATTTATTTTTAGATACCTTTAGACTCTTCGCCAGAGTTAAGCTGCTCTTAACTTTGTCATACAATTATTTATATATGAGTGAGAGATGGATATCAAAGTATTAATCGAAAATAATGTTTCAATAAACTTATCTTCTAGTAACTTCAGTCAATCTACTGAAAACGATCATTAAAAATTTTTAATGGGGAAGTTTTATCCCTGTGTATTTAATGGAAGAAATCTCGACGGGTTTTGTTTTTTATACCTAGATTTCTATTCATATTGATTGTGAAGTGTATGTGTCTGTGTGAAAAAGATGCACTAATTTTAATGCAAAATGTGATCACATATGATCGAATATCGAATCATTTGACTTGCAAATAAATTTTTTATTGTAATTTTCAGATGATTTTATGCCATTGTTCTGAGACCATGATAACAATAGATCCGTTTTCAGAGGATCTGATAATAAAAAAATCGATTAATCGACTATTTAGTCATAGTATTTTTTACTATATTCTATTGATAATAGCCATAGAAAAGAAAATTCAATAGGATTTTTTACTAGCCTGATCATTTTACGGATCATCATTAATCTAAGATTGGTTTCTATGAAAAACTTGAAGTTGAAATTAATTTTTGTTGAACTCTCAATCCACATATTACAAATAAGTCTCTCATAAAGGTGATTAATCTATTAGAGAATTTCCTCCCTTGCCATTCGGACTCATTAATAATATTAATGAATTTCTTTTTAGGTGGTTCATTTACAATGATTGTTGAATTATCATCACTTCTTGGTGCAACATATTATGCTATTTATGCATCGATAACTTCGAATGTGAACACTGTTGGTCTATATTCAACAATTGGTTATTTTCACACATTACCACGTCATCCTGAACCAGTACTTAATTTACGTGGTGAATCAGTATCTCGTTCGGCTATTGAATTAATGTGGCAACCGCCATCGAAACCCAATGGTGACATTACTATCTATCTTATATATTATGCACCTATCGAAGATCGATTACCAGTCGATAATTACAAATTACTTTGTTTAATGAAAGGTAAATCATCATAGAAAAAAAAATAATGTTGATAAAAACAGAACATAAAATTTTCTATTTAATTTAGATCGTTGGCGTTCTGAAGAAGCGGTTCCAAATCCTGAATTAAATAACAGTAGTTCTAATCGATGTCCAAGACATAAATCCAAATATAGCAATGGAAATAATGATGATTATTATGAAGAATTTGAAGAAAATACTGGTATTGATCAAGTTGTAACTGATTTAGCTATACTTGAACATCAACTTATTAATTCTGTAACCGAACGTAAAGATCCATTAATAATACGTGCAGATTTAAAAGATACAATTATTAGTGACTTAGATCATTATTTCGAAGATAAAAGTAGTTCAATACACGAGCAATATAAACCTGACTTATTCAATGAAGAAAAGTCCGCTGAACACTCGCCACATATCAATGAATTTAATCGTACAACACCGAATACAAGTATTATAATTACTGGTTTAAAACATGCACAAATGTATATGTTTCAAATATATGCGTGCCATGATATTATTACAGAAACAAAATCGAGCGCATGTAGTACCAATGGAATAATTATTTCTGTTCGAACAAAACCCGGTGATCGTATGTATTTTTAATAAAAGGCTTTTTCGGAATAATTCTTTTGTGCGTGTGTGTGTGTTTTCTTAGGATCACTAGATTTAGTACGTGAAGTAAAATTAACTTCATCGATTGATAGTGCACTACGATCAACAAGAGATTTGAAAACAGTTGATTATCATATATCTTGGCTTGCACCATTGACACCCAATGGACTTATTTATTTTTATACAATCTTTATTGATCAACATAATCATGATGGACCTAAAGATGAACGTTGTGTTGGACATAATGTACATATGGTTAATGTTTCTCTATTGCCACGAACAAGATATCGTTTAAGAATAACTACATATACGATATCTAGACTTTATAATGAATATGAAGATAAGAAACAATTAATGGATGAATCCGATTTAGCAAATATAACAAATTCATATTATCAAAAAGTTTTCATAACTGATGATTTACCAAGTAACTATACACAAATTTTAGAATTGTGATTAAATTTTTAGCAAGAGAAATTTCAGTATGAATATCACTAGATTAGAAAAATCCTTCTTTTTCGATGTGATAAACATTATATATTTTAAGATTAGATATCGTCTCATTTTCTACCTTATTAAACATCCAAGTACTTCCCTAACATAATGCGATGCACATATGCTTGAAATTACATCCTCGATTTTTAGACGAGTGACTTAAGTTTCAATAGAAACGGATTACAAAGCCACGACGTTTATTTCGTCTCTAGAAGGAAATTATCAAACTAATGTATTCGATTTAATCAAGCAGAATATTGTTTTTACTGTGAAAATTTTCGATTCCACAATTTTTTATTTCATATATATGGTGGAAAAGATAAATGATATTTATGTTGCCTACTTTTAGGACGTGAAATAACTCGTCAAAGCCGTTTGACAATGCTCATATTAGTAACTGGTTCATTGGCTTTATTATTAAGTCTTGTGTTCGGTGCACCATATTATTATTATAAATATGCTCGAAATGATTCAAAAGCCTCGATTTCCAAAAATCCAAATTATGGTTTGTTTTATTTTTGACTTTATATAACTGTAAGATTCTATTCAATGTTTAGAACTATATACACCTGATCAATGGGAAATTGATAAAGATTCAGTGACATTAAGTAAATTGATTGGTCAAGGACATTTCGGCCAAGTATATCAAGGCGTAATTAAAGTATCAGATGGAACATTAAGACCGTGCGCTGTCAAAGTAAAGAATTTATTTTTGTAAATCAAATTTCTTATATTCAATTTTTTCTAGCTTCGAACAACGCATCCAACAGATTTATTACAAGAAGCATCTATAATGAAGTTTGTTTTTATTTTATAACGAATAAAAATTAAGTCTTCCTTTTTTTCGTTAAAGACAATTTCAATGTTACCATGTTATTCAGTTGTATGGTATTTGCTCACGTATTCGACCACCCTATGTAGTTATGGAGCTAATGGAACATGGAGATTTAAAAAATTATCTTTATCAACATCGACAATCTGAATTAAATGTATGTACTTATTGGATAATTAATTTGTGTATTTCTTGGATTATATTTTCTTATTTGTCTTTAGCCAAATGATTCAACATTATCCGAATCAGCAATGATACAATTAGCATTAGATGTTGCTGATGGGATGTATTATTTATCTGATCAAAAATTTGTTCATAGAGATTTAGCAGCAAGAAATTGTCTTGTCAATGGCAATCATACATGCAAAGTTGGAGGTAATTGAAACAAACAAAGTAGATATTATTCTATGGTCGAAGAATGCGGCAATATTACGACATCTTTAAGGCGCTGTAGGATGATTGATATGAGTAGTAGTATTGAGTGTCCTATAACAACGCATTACCAAAAGCAAACAATCGTCATTAATGACTAGCAAATATTTACCTGAGTACCCTCTGAGTTGATTGAATCGATGTTAGCTGTTTGTTTATTTTCTTTTTCTATGAATAGTACATAGTCAATGAAAGATGTATGTCCATTAGTGATATAGTTGACCCGAATCCATATGAAGTCTATGCTTGATGTATATATTACAGAAGAAATATGTATGTTGTTATTCATATCAACTGTGTAAATAGAGGCAGACTAATCGATTTGAGTATAGTCATAAGCGTGATTCCGAATAAGAATTCAAATACATAAGTCAATAGATTTGGTGGTAGTGTTATTGAAGTTTTATAATAATAAATTTAATGCCAATGTTTTTTGCAAGCTGATAGTTTACGTAACGATTGACTATCTATTTAGATTTTGGTTTAACCCGTGATATTTATGAAACTGATTACTATCGACGTGGTGGTCGAAGTTTTCTTCCAATAAGATGGATGGCACCGGAAAGTTTAAGAGATGGACGTTTCGATACTGTATCAGATGTTTGGTAAGAAGAAAACAAAATAAATATTATTGAATTTTCACTGAATTAAATAATTTTCAGGTCATTTGGTGTTCTACTTTGGGAAATAGCAACATTGGCTGAACAACCCTATCAAGGATATGGTAATGAAGAAGTTGTACATTATGTTCGATATGGAAATATTACTCTTGAACGTCCACCGAATTGTCCAGAAATTTTGTAAGATAAAAATTTCAATATTTTTATTGCTAAACAATTCGTTTTTTTTTCGATTGAATTTCAGACATAAACTAATGCGAGCTTGTTGGACATTTCCACCCGGTGATCGTATATCATTTCGATCTATTGTTGACGAATTGGTTATCTATGAAAATGATGATTTTCGTTCACATGCATATTATCATACACAGCCAATGTTAAAACGACAGTTGAGCTCACTTAATAGTAGTCACAATGATGAAGAAGAACTTTTGATAATGGGCAAAAACGATGGCAATGATGACACTGAAGAACATACATAGTTGAAATATTGCTTTCCAAATTGTTCGATGTTTCTTTTTCTTTTTCTTTGTTTGTGAATGAATCTCTATTTTGTTTTCTAATTGTTATTTTACAAATATATGTATTAGTACTGTAAAAATTAATTATAAATTGCATTCTTTTTTACAGATGATTTTTTAAAATATGGTTAACAGACCAGAATCAGATGAAGTACTTGATCGATATGGCTTTTTTGTTTCACCGGGGGAATCTCAGTGAGGAGAAAAGATTTCACATCGTCTGTTCTGTTTGTCATTTGAATCTTTTTCTTTTTATAGTATCGAAGAAACAGTAGATGCAGCAGTAGCTCGCCGTCGAGAACTAAAATGGCTCGATATGCTTACGCAATGGCCATCATTTATTGCGTCACGTTTTGATAAAATAAAAGAACGTTGCCGAAAAGGTATACCAGGATCTGTACGTGGTCAAGCCTGGTATCATTTATCGGCTGCTAAATATCGACAAGAAAATGAAGATCGAAATTGTCCGATGGAAAGTTTATTTTACTATTATTTAACAAAAACACCGGATGCACGTGTTCTTGACGATATAAAAAAAGATCTAGCAAGATCATTTCCTGATCATGAAATGTTTCGAGATGATGGTTGCGGGTAGGTTCTGATTATTATTTTGCGGAAAAATTTACTGCCTTAATTTATTATTTCTATAGACAAAATAGTTTAAATGATGTATTGAGAGCATATGCAATACATGATCCTGATGTGGGTTATTGTCAAGCACAGGCGCCTATTGCAGCTATTCTATTAATGCATCTACCACCAGAACAAGCGTTCTGGGTATTTGTTCAAATAAATGAAGAATATGTTAAAGGATATTTTAGTGATGGATTGAGGGCAATTAAAGAAGATGCATTAGCAACAGAAATTCTTATAAAACGTGTTTCGCCGAAAGGTTATCATTTACTTGTATGTAAATTGTTTTATCCTATGATAATTCTGCATGGTTTTACACTAGTATTGTAATGAGTATTCTTACGAGAGAATATGTATTGAAATTAATATATACATATCTTATCAAGTTATTTCAATATTAAATTGTATTTTCGAATCAAAATTGAATCATTCTTAGTGCGTATTCTTTCGAACATATTATTCCTTGAGGCATAAAAGATAATAAAGTAAATCTATTGTAACAAAAAAGCGACGCACGTATACACTTAATTATGAATTTCGATGTCTGACAAGCTGTTAAATAGTCTATAAACTAATATTGACTTAATGATTAATAGATGTTAGAAGGAGTTTATACATGTTTTATATGATATAATTATCCTTCCTTTTTATCTTTCGATGTTTGAATTTTCATTCAGAAAAACAAAAATGGTATGTTTAATTGTGTTTCGGTAGTTCAATGGTAAGAGCACTGGTCCGGTTAATCAGCTGTTGTGTCTTGGGTTCGCTTTCCGAACGAAGGATATCATTTTGTTTTTCTGAATGAAAACTTTAAACACCGGAAGATAAAAAGAAAGCATAATTATATCATATAAAACATAATATTGACTTAGTAGTCCTAAGGGATTTCCTTTTTCTCAATCAATGTCACGCGAGCAACAATGTATGGGAACAAAATACGAGCCTTGTAGAATTAATATGTTAAATACCGTTGTGCTGGAGCATCGTTGGTTAGAAAAGTTATTATTAAATTGGTAGACAACCTCACTAGGTTATAATAGAATTGCAACGCTCTTTAGATTTTTATCATTGGTATTGCACATTGGCAGTTTATTCGATAATAATAAACAGAGTAACAAAATCAGCAGTCAATCGAAATATACACTTACTAGTATCTGATATCTATTGCTATGAGTCATTATTTTTAATCAAACTTCAGCTACACTGCGAAGTATTATGGTTGAAAATATTTGTTTTCTTTTTTAGCATAAACTTGATGTTGATCCCATATTATATACAGTCGATTGGTATATGACATTATTTTCTCGGACGTACCGTGCACCCCAACTATATCGTTTATGGGATATGTTTTTTTGTGAGGGCGTCAAAGTATTATTTCGTTTAGCTCTTGTTATTGTTTATGAAACTCTTGAAGATGGCCCATCTAGTATTGTGTCACGAGCGCATAAATGTGATAATGCTATGGATATTGTTACATTGATAAAGCAAACTGCTAAACAATTGCCATTCAGTGTATTACTTAGTAAAATGGATAAACTTCCATTAACTGATATTGATCTTGCTCAAGCATGTAAACAAGCAAGACAAAAGCTTAATGCAGATGGAAAAGCAATGCAAAATCGCAAAAAATAATCTACATCGCTATTCACACGGCATAAATAACATTTTTTTTTTTATAAAAGAGGATTATTTTAGTGAGTGTCTTTTATGTGTAAATATGGATTGTTTTGAATTTTTATGTGCTTTTTTTAATCAATAAAAGTTTCTAGAAAATATATATTAATTCTTGACTCTTGGAACCGTTGACACTAAGATATGAGACACTGCCATCTATCTCTTAGATTTTTGTTTTTGATGGAATTCAACAGGAAGTATTTAAAATGCTGAAGAAATACTATACACTAGAAAAGTTTAATAGTATTGCTGGTAGAGGTGTAACTAGAGGAGGGATTAATTTCCTGTCTAAAGAATTTTCTTCCAACATTAGAATTGCTTTCTGATCCAGTATACATACTGTCTGTCAACTTCACTGACTTTTGATATTGGATCGCTGAAATTGACTGGTACTGGTTAATAGGAGAAAAACAATCGTCATGCTACCTCGATCAATTTCAATGCGTTTAGTAAAAATTAACAAATATGCTTTCTATTGATTAAAATTCTAATAGCATTCAAGTGAGAAGAATTTTAATTTCTCTCATTCTTATTTCAATGAAATATTTCTTTTTTTCTATTAATCTTTTAATGATACAATAGTTTTCATTCACAACGAAAAAACTTCAGTCGTTATATATTCCAACGGAAATTCACATTCGTTTATGATCAGTACAGATTTGAAATCATAGCAATAGTAGTTTATAAAAAATTTCAATAATACGATCTTATCCAAAAAACCTTTATGTAATAATGATACGTACATAAGACTCTTTTTTTTTCTAGTTTATCAATAAATTTCGATGAATTCTCTTTTTGACTAAAAATACCACTAGCTTGATTTTTCTTCTGCCGAAATTCAGCCATATATCAAATGAATCCTGCGAGTCGATAACACCCAATTTGCTATTGAAAATCGTTCCACACGTGTAGTTTGAACCCGATTATTTCTTCAATTATTTGGAATTAGGAATAAATTCTATTTAAAATGTTTTTGCTGTAATTTAGGATCGATAATTATTTAATCTCAGTGGAGTTCTAGCAGTACCATAGGATGATGTTGAATTATATTGTAGTCCTGGTGATCGAATAGTTGGCGAGCTTGTTTTTATTGAAGTAATAATTACTGTTGGCAAATGTTTTGATCTATGATTAAATATAATATAAACAAATGGATTAAGACTGCTCTGTGCGAAACATATCGTTTGCAATACTCCATCAAGCCGCGATGACACACGCGCATAACGATTCGTGTAAATTTCAATTAAAGTTATAAATATATAAGGCGTCCAGCAAGCAACAAATACAATAATAATTGTCATCGCTAATTTAACTGTTTTAAATTTGGGTGGAGATTCTACGGTTGACGTAAGAACTGTTGATGTTTGGCTATTAGTTTTTTGCATCCATCTTTTTGTTGAAGATCCAACAACACGTATCATTTTTACGTACCATATTGTCATGCAAAAAACTGGTATTACAAGAAGATAACTAGCAAATATTGTGAAATAAACTCGACGCTGCCATTCTGCTGTATAGCCTGTACTACTGCAACGATATTTTTCTGAATTATTTGGTTTCGAACTTTGTTTGAATATAAATAATTGCGGAATTGCTACTATCAATGAACTCAACCAACATAGAGTTATAATACGACGTACACGACGAAGAGGTGTACACGATCGAAATGGACAACAGATGGCTTCATATCTAGATTTAGAAAAAATTGATGTATAATATTTTCAAGATACATTAGGTAAATGTCTACGTCAGCCTGACTTCATAAGAGCTATACGCGAAGAAAATATTCAAGAACTGTAACCTGCATATAGTAATAAGTTTAATTATCATAGTTTTTTCCCTAGATTATGTTTTTAAAAAGGAAAGATTCAAGTCGTATGCTCATTAATAAATAGTATAACTACTAGCAGATGTACTAACCCGAAGATATATTTTCAGAGTTCAAATTACGAGAGTTTCAAAAGAAAACATGGCTCTAATCTTAGACAAATATGAACTGCAGCATCTTCATTAGAAACTGCTTCGGATTTATTTTAATATAAAGAAAAAACATTCATAAAAGTTTTATATTTAGCTTATTAAATATTCCCTATGTAATCATATAAGCAAGGGAAAATAATTTAATAATTATCTTCATTTAGATTGAAGAACTAAAATTTATTGATTTTGTCACGCGAGTATCAGAAATAATTTTTTAATAATTTTTTTTCAAAAACTAACAAAAAATGTCAATTAAATTATAATACGAAATATGATCAGTAAAAATGCAAGGAAACTCTTATGATTAATTACAAGTAATTAGGTCAGTCGTTTTTTGACAAACTATTAAAAGAATATTATCTAAACTTTTGTTTTAATAGATCATGATATCAGATAAAAGCACCTATGATTAGTAATAGTAGCTAAATGGCATCGTACTAGACTGTTAGACGTCAAGAAAGCAATTTGCTCATATTGTTGGAATCTTATTGTTTTCAAAAGAAAAGAACGTCATAGTGTTTTACGCATTCCATCTATGAAATACTATCGTTTTATTTATTCATAAAAAACTTATATTTATATTACCGTTCATGGAATAAAGAGCATAATAACATCGTATTATTTTTTTCAGATATTTTCTCTTGAGGGTCACTTTATCGAATATGAATCTACGAAAGCAAGGTAAACTAAAAATAGTAAATCAAGAAAAAAAAACAACAGTTTAAGAGTACTCGATGAACAAACGTCGCAGTATCGAAACTAATCTGTCTAATATATAGAAAGAATTGATGACAAGTAAAAGGAATAAAACCTGCTTATGACTTTTTTGTTATCTTGCACTTCTTTATTAATGATAAACCCCTGATATAGGATAAACTACACAGTGAAATCTGTTTTTTTAATATATCCGAAAAAAGTCTCTCACCGATCGTACGTCATTGCCACATTGATAAATGTTGTTGAAGCAAGTGTAACAACTTGAATATAAAGTGTTAGTTTACATGCGATATTTCCTAGAATCCATTCTTGATCAAAAATCAAAAGAAATAATTCTGATGTCATCGTAAATAAGCATATGGCTAAATCTCCGATAGCCAAATTTAGTATAAATAAATGTAAACGTGTACGATGGCGACGACGTCGACAAAATAATTCGACTATAATATAGCAATTACCAATAAAAGTAACGCACATTATAATCGTCAATACACAGATGCGAATAAATTTGTTTGTTGGCCATTGATGATATGACATGGCTGAGTTGAGTGAAAAATTATTCATGATGAGAACTGCAAAATAATAAAAAGGAAAAGACAAGAAATATAGAGAGAAATAAATGAGGATTTTTAAGATTATTGTTGTAGAAGAAAAAAAAACGTAAAGCAGACACTTCATATTCATGGCATTTTTCTTTTATGCGTTAGATTCATGGCCATACAAAATTTCCTGTCTGACTTTGAAGCATATAGTTGATGGTGTTTCACATATTTCTGCAGGTGATTATGTTGATGCTCGCCGGATTATGAGTGTTAGATTATCATCTTCGTCATTTTTTTATACAAAACTTTACATTTTTCTATTGTCAAGTTACACAGCCTCTTTTGTCATATTTAAATATCGAAAATAATAAAATCAAAACATGCCACTAGCAAACCCAGTTTCTTTATTTGATAACTGCAGCAATTAAGTTGTTAAAATAAAATTGAATGCAGTTTAGTGTATCAATGAATGGCAAATATTTTTATATTTTTTAGCTCTATGTAACATTTGTGTAAGGCTTTGACAACAGAAAAGAAAAGAAACGAAACAAAACAAAACAAGACTGATAAACACTATAGAAGACTAAAATAGTGTAAGAAAATGCAAAAAAGTAAACAAAAGAAAAATTCAACTGTTAGAAATTATCATAAAATATTTGTGACCTTTTTATTTTGCTACAAAAGATATTCACTCCATAGTGTAAATAAATTATTAATACGCACAATAAACAACTCACTGACAGGCTGAATATGCTTACGTGAAAAATGTCGATTGAAAAACAACAATTAATGATCTATTCTACATGAATTCGAATAATGTTCTTGACAAGACCTATTATGATTTATTTAAAGATGATGAATTATTTAATCGGAGGAGTTCAATTAAATTCTTTATGATTGTTGTTGTTTTTAAATGCAATTTATTTTGATCGACTGGAGTTTAATTAAAAACTAGAAGCAAATTTTTCTCATTAACATAAACATTTATAATGACTTTAAATTATTTGTTAATGAGAACTTCATTCCAAGCCAACATCTTCTAATAAATGATAGTTTGTTTTTAAGTACGCTGCGGTGTGCTGAGTAGAGTATGATTTACTCGCGTATTCTTCTTACGTCAGTGGAACAAAAATGTTGTGCCTTAGGGAATTTTCAACCACTAAAACCATTTATTTTTATTTTTTCATTAATGAGGCCCTTTTCATTAGTGCTAGTAATAGTTGAGATAGTATGTGCTTTGCTTTGAAACTTTTTAAATCTTGAGATTCTTGCATGATACTAACCTTTGTCAAGAATATGACTCTCATTAGACGATAATTTATAAAAGGCGATTAAGTGCAGATTTATAATGGTTTTCTGAACAACTGACAAAACTGAACGGGGGAGGGGGGGGAGAGTTGTAGTAAAAATTACTTTTCACAATCACTAAATATTACGGTACGACACTTTGAAGACGTTTCATATGGAGAAGGATCAGAAAGAGATAAATTGTTGTATTTAATCCAAGATTCTAGTAGAATTATCAGTTTGACGTTTAACCTAGCGTTCATAATGTTTTAAAACAATTCAACCGTGAAGTGAAACGATACATTTTTCTATTCGTATCATGAAATGACCAGTGAACTAAATATCAGAAATGGGATTATGAATCAAATGATGCCTTGAAACCGAATAAATCTGTTAGACTAGAGTAGAATATCATGTCAGCAAGAAAAATATCGTCTTTCTCAAACGCCATTCTTGTCTATTCTCCAGTTACTGTATAGGTACTCAACGTATTTTCTTTGCGCTAAGAGAAGCAGCATTTAAATGGATTCACCCGTCAAATGATTAACACAATGTAAACTGATCTAAACATGAGTACTCAAATTACTTGAGCAAAATAACACCTACTTATTCATATCTTAATAGTTATTTCTGCGTAGAAAAAGTTGGACCAAAGTCGATTCAGATGATGAAATATTGCTTTGAATATTTTACAAAATAATATCGACCTTTTGTTGAAGACATTCTTCATGCAAATAGCAAAACAAAATAAGCTTCCTGTTAAATTTCTCTAAAAAAGTAACATTTCTTGTTTTCAAATCATCAAAGTAACAAAGACCTGGAAAACTAAGAGTTTCAAGGCTCGAAACTGAACGATTCGATAAAGAATCAGGGTTGCCAAATCTCCTGATTTAACCAGGAGAATCCTGATTTCAAGACTTTTCCCTGGTTAAAATATCTCCTGATACCAGCAGTTGATTTGCGAAGTTTTCTCCTGGTTTCTTGATTTTTTCTCACATTGAATTTTAGCGACATTATAGATCGAAAACACAGCCAATACATTGTATAGTTCTATAATTATCTTTTAAATAATCAGGATCTATTGAAAAAAATTCGATAGTCAAGTAAATATAAACCCCCCTCCCCGGAATATAAGACCCGGGGTCTTCTATAATGACAAAGCAGATCAAATTTCAAAGGGGGTCTTCTATTTGAAACAGAGTTTATGTTGGTAGAAAGTTTTAGAAATCTCCAGATAAATATTTATTTTTAATCTTTTTTGTTCAATTCACAATTTAGAATTGACAAGAGATGAAAATCAAAACATAAATTTACATAGGTTACATAAATATAATAATTATCATTTTTTGAGGTATCGAAAGACAAAGCATATTCTCGTTGTCGTCATTCATAACTAATCAGTCCATTTAGAACGAACAATGTAAACATAAAAATGAAGAATAAAATGTCTATCTGACGACGATTGGTGCTCGCCTCGTCGATCAATAATCTTCATAATGACTCATGAATGGAAAGAATGAATCTTTTCCCACTTTTCTGAACAGAGAGAAAAGATGGTGCGAGAGAGAGAGAACATAAACGTATACAGAAAAAAAAATTTATTTTCTGCGAAGAGTAATGGACATATCAAGTAATAGCGAACATGGACGAATTATAAAGCCCGGTCTTATATTAAGACGATCATTCAAAATTTTTAGGGGGCCTTCTAATCCGGGGGGTAATACCATCTTCATCATAAAATCTTATACACATGAACGCTCATCTGTCAAAAATTGAATTCATTAAGGATTTACGATTTTGATCAAAAGAAAACCATACAAAAGTACGTTATCTTCCTTTTCAAATTATAATTAGACTTGAAGAATAGAGTTCGCCAAAACTGAATCTAAAAATTCTAAATTTGCTCGACTCAACTAGCCTGAGAAATGTATAGGATACAATAGCAACAGATCAGCTAAAACATTCTCTCAGCGATAATTTTAATAAAAAAAATTTCATTTAGCTAAATTATCAAAGGTGGCTTCGAAAATTTTGTATCAGAACAAATTAATTTTTCTATTGTCAGAGAAAACTTCACTACAAACGTTTCATACTTCTTCAGCGAGCTGAAATCATATATAAATATAATTTACCTCTCGGTAGCTTGGCTCAGCTTGTATCATAAATTCATCAAAACGCATATAAAGTGTTTCGAATGTGGGACGATTATCCGGATTCTCTTGCCAGCAGGAACACATTATTTGATAATAATGTTCATGGCAATCATGTGGCTGAAATGATCAATATAAGTAACAGTCACAAAAAATAAACCCAATCCTTACTTTCGGCATAAGATAGCCATTAAGTACAGCTTGTAATGCTTCATTATTTGACATTCCAGGATAAGGATTTGAACCATGTGTAACTAACTCGTAAAGAAGAATACCAAAACTCCATACATCAGATTTTGTTGTATATTCTTTTTTTGTTGCTGCTTCTGGTGCTGTCCATTTAATTGGAAATTGTGATTCTCGATCGACCATTAAACGACCACCTTGAAGAATTTTTGCTAAACCAAAATCAGCTATTTTGACCACATCAAATTCTCCAACAAGGATATTTCGCGCTTAAAAGAAACAAATATTTTTGAATCAGAACTATACTCTAAAACAAATTTTACCAGCTAGATCACAATGAACATAACGTTTTTGTTCAAGATAAGCCATACCTTTGGCGATCTGAAATAGAAATTATGATTTGCTTAGTTTTTCTTTCCGTCCTTAGTTGAAAAAAATCTATTCTTTTTACCTGTGCAGCAAAATCAAGTATGGTTTTAAATTTTAAATTTTTCCCTGGTCCATCACGCAAATAATTTAATAAACATCCATGTCCCATATATTCAGTGACAATAAATATGGGTTCTTCTTGCGTGCACACACCATATAAACGTACAATATTTTTATGTAGGAGATCTTTCATGATTTTTGCTTCATCAAGAAATTTATCAACACACATACGATTTTTATTGTCTGTTTTCATGCATTTAATTGCAACGTCACGTTGTCCATACTTCGCTTTATAAACTTCACCATAATTTCCACGACCAATTAATTGTTGGTTTGTAAGTTGTGAACGATCTAACTCTAATAAACCATGTCGATCAGCTGGAACTGTTGGTTCAACTTTTCGGCAAGGACGTGTTAATGTACAACAAAGACCATCGGCATTTTCTGTAGAAGAAATCAATTTTTGTGTAAAACAAAAATGAAGAAACTTTTCATACTTTACCTCGATAATGTTCAACAAGATCTTGCAATGACTGAAAAATACTTTTACTGCTAATATAATATAATCCTTGATCAGTTCGACGTATTCGATAATGTTTAACATGGAAATGCTTGTCTTTACTCAAGTCAAGCACGGATAATGATTCTTGGCCTTGAAAATAATATTGAAAAAAAAAACATAATTATTAAACTATCGACAATATGTTACGTGTACGTATACCTTGATTAGTGTCCGAAGGACGAATTAAAAAAGTTCCTTTTCCATTATGTGGTTGCTCAAGAAATCGTTCAGCATCACGCCGATTTGTTTCAGTAAAATACCATCTAGATTTAATATTTCTTATCATATATTATTCGCTATTTTCATAACTCACTCGCATGCTGTTAAATCATTTATTGCTGATATATAATTGGCTGGTACATAACCAGCTTGTTTTGTTCGTAAATTTTTAGCTTGCCACCAATCATTAAAACTAGATTTAAAAACAACAATAAATAATTTACACGATGTAAATCACAAAAAGCAGCATCGCTTACGAATATTTATCAACAATTTCCAATCTGTCACCTTTACGAAAACTCAGTTCACCAGTCGATGATGTACCATTAAAGTCATAATTAGCAATGTAAATTAATTTATCTTAAAAGTAGAGAAGTGGTCAATTCGATTAAACATATGCAATTTATCTCTATAATTTACTTGAATTATTTATATTATAGTTATCAGGTGTTCGATTTACTAACATTTCTCCATGCTCATCTTGATGAATAGGTGTTTGTGACTGATTTGGTCTTCGATTTATAATTCCTCCGCCGTTCCCATTTTTGCTGGAATCATCCCGACGATTTTTTGAATATGTATATGTACCATCACGTTGCTTTCGACGTGAACTACCATTTCGATTTCCCATAGAAGAATAATACTCGAATTAGAATTACCGATATAAATTGCTGTATGTCATAGATTGATGTATGACTATGTTCGTTTCGATTATCTGGAAAGTAAATAGAAGAAAAAATTAACAAACAGTGTCAGACGTTCTCTCTGTCTGTGGCACACACGATGTATGTTCAATTCAATTAAACGAACGGACCATTTTAACCAATTAAATCTCCAGGCCAACCTTTATGTGTTTTTTACCTATTCTACAATTTCTTATCAAAACAAAAAAAAGAAAATAAGCTGTAAGTTGGCAAAAGATAATTTTTTTGTTTATTTTGATGTGACGAATAGAGCAACAAAACCAATTACTCTTACAACTAGTGCCATCTATTAAGATGATTTTTTCCTCCCAATCTACCTAATCATTCCACCGATGACCACATTCTATACATTTATAAAACGTTGTCATAGGTTCATCGGCAGAACGAGTTTGCAATTGCATAAAGTATGCTTTTGTATGAGCACATTTTGGACATGTTATTTCAGTTTTATCAACGTTTTCCATCGATGCTGCGCCACCAAGAACATCATCAATTGCTTTTAAACTTGTATATTGTCGCTCGGTTATTTTAGTCACAATATCACAAATATATGGACATGTATTACATGCTAATCGATTGCATCGATCACCTTGTTCCACAAATAGCATATTACCACAACGAGGACCTAAATAAAAATATGAATAATATATTCAATCATATAGAACACAAAAGATTTTTGTTGACACTAATTGAAATCAGTGATTAGCTATAGAATTTGTTTGAGCGAGAAAACAATTGTTTATTTTATGATATGTGTAAATTAATTTTTCTCTAATGAAATTTAAAAAAGAAATGTTCACCTAGATTTGCCTGTAGATTCAGACTAATGTTTTACTTACATGAGAATGTTTCTACATAAGATTCTTCATTCTAGTTTATCTATAGAGAGTAATTTATGCAGGAATCGTGATTCTGGAGAAAGCAAAAAATATAGTACACAAAACTTTCTATATTGGAATCTTTTGTTCTTATCAAATATTATTTGCTAATATTGCTGTGTGTGCTTTTATTTGGAATAAAAAGATGAAGAGTGAATGTATATATATATATGTTTAAGTTTTCAAATTAACTTAGGAAATTCTCTCTCTTGTTTAACTAACAATCTATTCAGATATTTCTTCGAACTATAACAGAACAACACAGAATGTCAATGAACTTGGGGAAACTAATGTGGAGAAAAAAATAATCATCAGAATTTATGATTTGATTTACAAAGTATTAATCATATCTTTGTCATTGACATTATTCGTTTTCTTCTCTTAAAATGAACATTGTCATTTGACTTGTGAATGACCTTGTTCAATTATCTATTTCCTTTCGAATCTCTAGATGTACTGTTTTTCTCTTGTTCAATAAAAATAATCGTTAATAATCTCTTCGTTTGATTATGATTTTCTCTAGTGATTTATAAAATAAATAAAACGGAAATCATCTATATTTAGATCAAATAGTAGTTAAAACACGATCGAACTTACAAAAAAACATCTTCTTTTCTTTCAATCAACTTGACGAGACACAAATAAGAAAAAAAACTATCTAAAAGAGAAACAATAGTAATAAAATCAATAATTTTGATTCCTATGATTAAATAATTAATGCATACGAATGTACATCAATATCTTCTCCATCTTTATGTACAAGTTTTCGTAATATTCCTTCAAATTCAAAATCACATTTTTCTACGACTCGCATTGATGCTTTATTCCATGAGAATATGTGTGCTTCAATTCGAACTAAATTTTTCCATTCAATTCTTATTATTTCGATTATTTTCTTTACAACTTTAGGCATTAGACCGCGATGCCAATATGGTTCGCCTAACCAATATCCAATTGTTGCTATCGTTTTATTTTTAACCGAACGATATAAACCACATGCACCGATCAGTTCATTATTTGCATTCAAACGAATCGTAAAAAAGTATGTTGAATCTACTGAAGCAGATTTTACTTTTTCAATAAAATTTTCGCCATCTTTTGTTGTATAGGGATATGGAATATTCAATGTATTAACATGAATTATTTGATTATTGAGATATTTAATAAGCGAGGGAATATCTTCATGTGTCAATTGATTGGTTACATATAGTTCAGCGTCAACTTTATAATGACTTGATGTCATGATATTCTAAAACAATATAAAAATAAAATTATTTCTATTTATTTGTTTGATTAAATAAAGTACAACACGCAAATTTATCTCCCTATGTAGAAGTCAGAAAAAAGAAAAAAGAAAAGAATGATGAAATATCAGCAAGTAATTGTTGATGTATTTCTTCAGTTTTTTTCTTATCAGTTAAATGTGATAAAATTTTCAAAGGAAATTCCATTGCTGTTGCTGGTTCATGACTTATTATTAGATGACGATAATTCGATTGGCTATCGACGACACGAGGAGCTAACTTAATTGATTTAAACTTATTTTTACATAACTTAACTACTGTTGGATAACATGTTATATCGTGGCCAATCGTGTATTTTGATTGGCATGATAAAAATGAGTATTTAATGATATAGGATCAGGACAAATAGTTGTAAATAATTTGTTAGTTTTATAATGATCAACAAGAATAGCATCTGCTTCCTTATATGATGCTAACTATTCTGTACCTTTACTACCTAAATAATAAAAATTTTAAGTTTAAATTTTGATTTTTCTTGATCTATTTTAGTCATCCATACCTCCAGGTACAATAATAGCATCAAATTGTTGTCTTTGAACATCGTCTATATGTAGATCAGGTACTATGTGTATATTACTAGCACATGTTATTGGTTTTTTATCGTTATTTCCAATACTACATAATTTTATGTCAATGCCACCTCGTCGTAATACATCGGTCGTAGCAACAGCTTCCGTATCTTCTGAACCATTAGCCACGAATACTAAAACTTTTTTATTGCCATTCCTAATAGAAACATATATACATGAGTATCACTTAACTCAACCTTTATCAATTTCTTTCTTTTCTTTTTTTTAATACATAAGATTATTCTTTGTTGCACCACAAAAGATACATAGACACATATAAGCAGGAAAAAAAGAAGAAAGAAAAAAAAACGAAAGTACAAATTATCCTAAAGAAAAAAGCATGTTTGTCAGTGTTTGAGATCATGTATAAGCACAAATATAATTATCAATTTTTTTTCTACTTATTTCATATGAATTGTAGGAAGTGTTCGTCTTTTAGTCGCTGTTGGTCTTATATTAGCTGACGTTGGTATTGATGGATGAATAGTTGAAGATGCATTTGTACCACTTGTTGCCTGATGATACATAGGACGAGATGATATCACTTGTTGTTGTTGTCGTATAGCAGTTTTAGATGCTTTCACTAGTTGATTCGTTTTCATTTGTTGTGGTAAAACAGGTGTTGAACGAAATTGTTGTTGGACTTGTTGATGAGCAGGCATTGGTTTTTTATGATGTGGTAATGATCGCATATGATTTGTTAGATTCATTTGTGATGGAATAGTAACATTAGGTTTTCGTGTTACATTTGTTAGTGATATAGATTGTTGAGAAATTTTCGTAGCAAAATTTTGTGATTGTGGTATAGATGGCCTTTGTTTTTGTTGTTGAGTATGATTATATGATGGAATAGATGTTGCCGATGATATTTGGGATGGTATTGGACGATTATTATTTGAAACGGGTGGCTTTGAAGTTGACGATGACAATGAGGAACGAAATGCATTTTTTTGTTGTTGTTTAATAAGTATTTGAAAAGTTTTTTCAATTTCCTTTTCTTGTTCCATAGCTGATACAAAAACGTTTTTTAATAATGTTGAATGCTCAGATTTTGATGTTCGTCGTATAACTTGTTTTTTACAACGATCACATAAAATATTCGTTTGTTGATTATTATTTAAATGTTTCCACCAACGTATTGTGAAATCTGTACCACAATGATCACAAATATGAGGTTCATGTAGTTGCGCACGATCAGTAAAACGTTGTGGTAAACGGTGACGATCGGTTTGTAATTCATATAGACATTGTGCAACATCTTCAAGACCTATATAAGGTTGAAATTCTAGACTAGTTGGATTCGGTACGAATGATATATCTTGTAATAAAGGTTTTGGTGATGGAATATTTAATAGATCTCGTTCAAGTTGTGTACGTAAAGCTTTTTTAGCTTGAGTTTTACGTTCTTCAAGTGAATAGATTGTTGTTGATGGTGCTGAAGAAGGCTTTGCTGGTAGAACAGGCGTGGGAATTTTAGTTGGCAATGGTGAATTCATTGGATTTGTTACTTTACGAATAGTTGATGTTTCTGGTTGCTGAATTGATGAACGTGACAAAGAATTTGGTATCGAAGGATTAGGTATTGTAGGTTTACTTGTTGGAATACGTGTTGCTGTTGGATGAAATCCATTTGTGGTTGATGTATTATTTATTCGTACTACTAATTGTTGACAGGAACGTAACTTTTTCAATATAACTAAATTGGCTTCTTCATTACGTAATTCTTGTACAAGTGAATGAAGCTTTAAGCGTTTTAATGAACGCATATTATTGTCAATAATTACACCATTAGTTGATTCAGGTGATAGAGGCCGTTTATTCGACATGATATTTTATCTGAAATTCTTTTCGTTTTTCAATATATATTATGTTTATAAAAATAGAGCGTGAAAAGTTTTTTCTCGTCTGCATATAGATATGCGCATTTATTTACAAAACAACAAAGAGATTCAGTTCATACATACCATATAGCAATTGAACGTATAGAAAATTGATTAATTGATTGTTTTTAATAAAAAATTTCGTAGCATGATATATCTAAAACAACAATATTAAGAGTTGAGATATTGAAAATAATTATATGTGCAAATAGATTTCTTCTTTTACTTTTACTTTTTTTTTAAATAAAAAGATAATATCGTAACCGTGTGACTGTACCTGCACTGTGAGCGAGTGTGCAATACAGCAACAGCACGAGAGCAAACAAGAAGGGTGAAACTTAACGGGACCGCTACCAGTCAACTAAAGGGGTAAGCAACCCTTCATCTCCTTCTATCATCCCTCAATACGGAATTTCGTTCTTTCTTTCCTCTCTCTCTCTTTCTCTTTCCATCGTCGTTACCGCCACCACCTCGGTCAGACCCGAGTTTCTTGTTTACTGACGACCGAAGGTATTTGGCTCTACTATACAGAAAGCAAGGAATAAGAAAAACAAAAAAGGACATCATAAACATTTCAACATCACCAAGGATTTGATTTGAACTTCAGACGAAAAACTCGAATTTCTCAACAACAAATGCACACATACCTTATAGCATTTAAAAATAAAAAAGAAATGTAACTAGTTTTGTGATGATGGCAATAAAGAAGCCAACATTCGCATACACCTACGCATAGAGGCAAACACAGAAAAAGATCGACGTAGACAGAAGTCTAAATAGAGAATAGTCAAGTGAAGAAACAGAATACGATGACGAATGTGAGGGACTCGCTGAATATGCGAGCGACTGTGTGCAGAGAAATATGATGATTTGTTTCCTCAAGCGTGCAAAAAAAGAAAAAAAGAGAAGAAAGTAGACAGGGCCAAAATAGACTATGAACATCAATTGTACATATACACGTTTGAATATATCATCAGAAGAAAAAGAAGACAAAAGTCGTCTTAAATATGATTCTCATGCTTCGACTAATTAGATTTAGATCTTAAATCTTGTTTAAACGAGGATGTTAATCATGACTACATACCATACACTTTCTGTTGTTCATTAAATAATTCTTCTTACCGTTGTATCTTGTCAAATAAGTAGAAAGGTATTTGAGACATTTAAAGATGGATATAATAAGTTCATCAAATATCTGTAAAGATAACGACGAATAGAAGATTATCAAATAAGGATACTTTCCTCGATGGATACAACAGCGAACTACGATCATGTGCACTCTGAATTGGCTGGCTCGTTTACTTGCGTATACTCTCGCAAGATGGAAAAAAATGGATGGTGATGGGAGGGGAGAAGAACGCAAAAGAGAACATGCCTTGTCGAACGCCGACTACAAACGACGCCTGTTTCAACAAAAACGATTGACCTCTTGCTGTCGACAAGAGAAGAAAAGAGAAAAACATCGAATATAATCATAGTTACTGTTAGATTGCTCAAATCTTTAGATCTCGAATTATGTATTATTTTATTGATAATTTATTCAATATATATCATTGAACCGTTATCTGAATGTATTCAAAAGAGTAAATTAACAAAAATAGAACAAACGAGAAAAGAAAAGAAAAGAAAAAAGAAAGATGAAATCGAAAAATTGACTTTTTTCAATTCGATTCCTTTTTATCAAAATCAAAAACGCAACAGATAAATAACAACTTATCCGAAAAAAAAAGTTAAATCCGTCGTACAGAAGAGGGCGGAAGAACGGAGAAAGAAGAATGAGAATGAGAAAGGAAACAGAATGACGATTGGAAGATCATTGATCCAGTTGTCTGTACGATGAAAATCTACAGGAGAATAGACCAGTGGCGACGCCTTGACACTGTAAGAAATAGAACACAAACAACATTTGGTTGCTTTTGAGTAAACAATAGTTTTCAAAAAGAACAAATGTCAGAACCACCACTTCCTAGTGGTCGTAGGCAACTTTTATTTGAAAAATATCGACCTTTTTTAACAACACCATTTTTCTTCGGATTTTCGGCACATGTACTAACGCCAAAAAGTTTTCCTCGGTTTGGATGTTTTTTTTTCATCAACAAATAAGTAAACATATGAATTTTATTGTATTTTTACTTAACAGGCTATTGGGTTCTCAAGTTGAATTACCATTAACGAATGCACTTTGGTGTGGATCTCATGTTGGCATTACAATATATTTATATACTTCAAAACACTTGCGAAGCATTCATACATTTGAACGTTTATTATACAGGTAAGATTTTCTTCATATTATTAAACATAAGTTTCTTTATCTTTTCATTTAGTATTTATGGTTCGGTAATGTTCAATTTTGGAACAGTTTTAGTCATGACAATTGTTCGATCAATTTTTCCTGATAAAAAAGTTCTTCGTTTAGGCATTGGTTTATCACTAAGTGGAGTTATATTATTGGTTGGACAAAAATATGTTCACTACATTGATGAAGTTTTTGACGCAGTTCGATTTAGAACAGCAAAATGATTCTACCACGAACAACTATGGACAGCATGTTATAAATATTTCAAATTAATCTCGGTATTGTTTATTTTTAACTCTCTTCATAGTCATTGATATGAAACTATAGATTTCATCTATATTTTATTTTATTTTACTTTATTTTATGGCTTTTCGATTTTTGAAAAAGTGTTTGTTTGTTTCCTTTTTTTTATACAATAATTGTGTCATTTGTATAAATAATTATTTTACTCATAAAAGGAAAAGTTTTAAAAGGTACTTCAATATCACTATCATCGGCATTCGAAGTAGAAACTTTTTCAAAATAATATGGTGTTCGATTATAATGAAGATGCAATGAAGGTAGAACAGAACGAGGAATACATTGTGGGACCATCGAAGGTTTTTCTTCTTCAATTGTTTGCATGATTTGATTTTGATCAACACGATGAACATTTGTATCTTGATAATCATCGATTGTATCTATAGTACTAGTACCCTCATTGATATTATCTCGTCGAAATAGGTTTCCTTGTTGTTGTGTACTCTGTAGACGAAGTTGTGGAAGTTGACGAAGATTATTAGGTAACAATCGTTCACGAATTATAAAACGAGAATTATATGGCTGTCTTAATTTTGAAGTAAATCGACCTTGTTGTTGTGCGAGATATTCATGATGTCTTTTTCTTTGAGTTTCATTTCGTGTTGATCGATCAAAATTGATAGTGGTTGTGTTATCGCTAGTTCCTTTTGACATGTTATCTGGCAATGTTTCACTTGATGTTGAATGAAGATCAACAAATAAATAGGACTTTAATTGTTCAACAGTAATTTGTGATGGTTGAAATGAATGTAAATCATTTAAATAAGCATCTATCATGGATTGTTGCAGACGACGTGATGGTAATTGATCGATTGATGACGTTCGATCATGTTCGTGACGATTAGCAAATAACTGTTCAGTTGATCGAACAGAATATGCCGATCCAGATGTTGGTGTCATCGATATCGGTATAATGGGTTGTTGATAATTCTGTTTAGATGAAACGTTTTGGAATATATTACCATACTTGTATCGATTTTTTAGTTTAGTTTGATGATGAGAATAATATCGATAACAAAATATAGTAATGGCTATGAGAAGAACTATTGTAAGTATTGGTATTATACATAGTAGAACAATGAATGTTGGTTCAGAAACATTCAATGATGAAGATGAATTATTAATTTGAAGAAGTTTTCGACCATGAAACGATCGAGAAACTTCTGAAATGTTTAAAAAATTAATATTAACTAATATAATTTTTTTTCTTTACCGTCAAAATCATTGTTATTCATGTATGATCGTTGTTGAATATTATGAGAATTAATATTCATGCAAAAAACACCAAAAATGATTTGATGTTAGGTTGAAAAAAAAACATAGGGAGGATCAAACATAAACAAAATTTTGTTTATCAAAGGCTTCTTATTATAAAAATCGAATACGTATCAAACCGAACAAAATCAACACAGATTTTTAATTATTTTGCCATACATATAATATATATATATATATATATGCTCAAGGATAAGATAAAAAATAAATAATATTTAATATAGTATTATCGATATTACCGCACTAAATATCCCATCAGTGTAGTTTACTATATAAGTGAATTAATAATAGTATATTTGCAAGATGAGAAAGAAAGAGAACAACAATCTATATATGTTTTATTAACATTTCTTCATCGTGTACCCGTGAATAGAAAAAAAGTGTTCAAGAGAGAAGATTATGTAGGTTTGAATTTAACGAACAAACATTTACGAAATCACATTGAATAGCGAAGACAGCCAAGAGACTTTTATGTTCAACATTTAACCTTGCCATCAAATGAATACTTTTCCATCAGGTCATTTCGATGTTCATCACATACTTCATTGAAGAGTAAATAAAAAAAAATGAAAAAGCATGTATATTATCTAATCACATATTATATGCATTCAATTTTTCTTCTTACTATTTAGAAATGTACGTGATTAGAATTACGCGAACAAAATAGTTGTCCTAATCAGAATTGAAAATTGTACTTCAATATCTTACGGTTTTCAGCGAATCATTTCGTATATCATGTAAATCAAAATCAAAATCCAGTCGCAATGACTAGAGCATGTTATATTCATTAGTTGAATTAATCAAAACAAAGTTTCCCTCTATGCATGGTGAAATTATCCAACTTTCTAGTATTGCCTATTCTTAGATTGGAATATTAACATTTGTATCATATCAAGAGCCAAACTTTATTTGCGTATTGTGCAAGACCTATTTGATAATATTAATTAATGAAGTACATATGCAATTCGTGAACTTGGTTTTTCAGAAAATTATTATTATTCATATAAAACAAAACAAAAACATGATTGACATGTGGCGAAATCTATTACATTGTTTCCCATTGAATATCTGTACTTTATCTAATTCTGAATAGCTGACGTGCTAAAATCTCAATGCTTCTTATCAAATTGAATACTTTTCTTTTTCATATCATAAAGTTAGATACAAATTTCAATTATTCATAGAATACCTTCAACTAGTCTAAATCTTTGTTTGTCAATAGTTATCTCTATACAAAAAGCGTGATCAAACACGACAATCAAACATACGAGAAGTTACTTCGTGTTGCCTCTTTCAGATGTCTCTTATTACTGTTAATGATGCGAATACATTTCATTATACATGGTTACAACGTTGTGCTTGTAATATAATACGTTATGGTTGTACAAGTCGACCAAGACATATAGCAATTGTAATGGATGGTAATCGTCGTTTTGCACGTGAACATAATTTTGAACGTGCACGTGGTCATTCATTAGGGGCTGATAAATTATTTGATGTTTGTCAATGGTGCTATGATTTAGGTATAAATGAAATGAGTGTTTATGCATTTTCACTTGAAAATTTAAAACGTTCTCAAGACGAAGTTGATACATTAATGAATATAGCACGTGTTAAATTAAATGAAATTGAAAAATCATTAGAAAAAATTCATGAACAACAAATGTGTATACGTATCATTGGAAATTTAGATTTACTACCAGATGATATTCGAAAATCAAGTTATCGTTTAATGAAGGAAACTGATCACTATAATAATTTTATATTAAATGTTTGTTTGTATTACACGTCGAGAAATGAAATAACAAACACAATCAAAGATCTAGCTCAAGGTTGTAAAAGAGATTTAATTCATATTGATGATATTGATGATGATTTAATCATGCAAAGTTTAATAGTATCAACAAGTCAAACAGGTCATTTACCTGATATATTTCTTCGTACATCGGGCGAATTACGTTTAAGTGATTTTATGTTATTACAATGTAGATTTTCTATGTGGATCTTTGCGGATGTTTATTGGCCAGCTTTTAATATTTGGCAATTATATTGGATGATTTTACAATATGAAATCAAATCAAAAACATTGATGACTGTACAAAATCAATGTAAAAACATTCTTAAGCAAACTCAAACTGAGGATGAACAAAAAAATGAACGCATAAAAACATTTCTGCATTGGCTTGAACACAAAAGAATTGAACGTTTAAAAGAATAATTGAAATTTTTGTTTTGCAATAAACAGTGTTTTGTTCACATTATTATTGTTCTGTTATTATATTTTTATTTAAAATTACCTTTTAAACATAAGAAAAATTTTGATGCTAGGAGAACTTTTACAAAAAAATAAAAATAAACGACAACGCTATTTCGATAGTGATTTATGATTAAAGAGTAGAGGACAGATACACCGATGGATTATTTCTAAGATAGAATGTCTTAAGATGACAATAGTGGATTCATTTTTTTTGCATTTGGAAATAGATCATGCAATATGAACGAGATGGTAGAAGAATTTATTTTTTCTAAATTTTTGACTTTTCTCTCAAAGTACTTTTCTAAGAGCAAACTATTTTATAGAATATGTCAATTTAGAAATAGCTGTTGGCACAACCTATACAGGATTATGATGTGAAATGCAATACACTATTGATATGTAGTCTGTGATGTTTCGTCGAGTCAGACTACAAATATTGATCCTAATGATACAAAACTTTTGGATCGTGTTCCATTAAAGCAATCAGTAATAATGTTTGGATAGAAACAAGTGGACTATACCATTTAAATCCTAGTCTCAAGAGACAATAACTAGAATACATGTTTTCTACAATTTTAGACATGAAAATGTAGGCAAGCAATTTATTGATACATCTCAAAGCATAGTTTCGTGTTTATCTGATTAGATTTTTTCAAGACAAGTCCTTTTCTATTTTTTATATCTAACACATTTTCAGATGACTCTTTTTAATTACGTAGATATATCTTATTTGCTATGAACCATTTTTAAGACTTAATTCATGTGCAATACGTTCACATCTTTCACACGATATGCATTATATCTATTCGACAGCGACTGTTTCACATACATTAGATCTTATTATCAAATACGATGACACTTGTATACAGTTTGATAGACAATTGAAAACATCATCTGACCTCATTGAATATCTTGCTGCCGGTAAACGTGAACTACATGATATAGAGATAGATTGATATCTCATTTAATATCGATGCATAGTAACTCATTTAACTCAATTGATAAAACTGTTAAAGTAAAAATAAAACAATTTGTGAAACCAAATACATACATGCGTATGACACGTTTTTTAATAAAAATCAAGTAGATATAAATGAAGAATTGAAAGCACTGCAGCAATTTGAATATGATATGAAATCTGAACTGGATGATACAAATATTTTAAAAACAATTAAAAAAACGATATGATCTACTCAAAATTTTCTAATTATGAAATAAAAACAAAGCAGTTGAAGTAATCATTTATATGTTTAAATAAAAATTTCGTATCAAATGGGTCATAGCTCCATTATAAGTATAAAAATACTTTGAAAATATTCAAATTCTTAATTTTATCCTTGCCCAATCTAAATAATATTCTTTAATTTCTTCTGTTAAGATTAAATTGTAGCTAAGTTACACAAAACAATCTTCCATAATTTCTAGTTTTAGCAGAAAATGAAAAATATTTCCTTGATTATTCATTTTTTTTGCATATTTTCATAGAATTGTTGTAAGTTGTGTCCTAGTGACAAAGACGCCAACTTTTTATATGTTGTTGTGCTTTTAAAATCTGAAATTTAACAATCGAATACCAGAATACCAGAGACTTTGTTTCTTTTTAGTAATTGTTTGTTTGTAAGAATTGAGAATTTCATTTAGATCTTTTTTTTACAATAGAACAGAAACATCTGCATCAGTAGCAGTAATCCGCATATTAGAAGATCCCCTTGGTAAATTTTTACCCTGGAACATAATAGAAGGTCCCGGGTGGAGGGGGGGGGGTACTGCACCTTATACTGTATTCAACGTATTATGAATATAAAAAAATGTGGGGCCTTTTGAAAAAAATGTATATGTTCAATTTTGTGTTGCGTTTAATAGAATAAATGAGCTATTCTTAATTATTTAATATGTAACTATGTCCCAGCTTTTGGTCTTTCATCGCGTAAAAGATGAAACTATTTATTGAAAGACTTGTATCTCTTCATTTTTTCTGAGCTGCTTCCTGCGACTACGAAATTTGATAGTCTATTAGACTGCGTTAGTATAAGACATTTTCCTGAGACTTTTGAGAAAAATGTTCGGATACAGGTGAAAATTTTGTAAATATTGGAATCTTTTTTATTCAATTAGTACTGAATTATGGATTGAAAGCGACGATAGATAGTTTTTTTTTCTAAACTACTGTGTTCAACAGAATAGATACAGTTTTAGAAAGCATTAATCAAGTTTAATCAAAATGATCATATCAATGGTTGAAGAATAGCACGTCATTATAAGACAACAGGTGATTCGCGAAGCCTCTACCATTCACAACTCTGGCGTGAAAATGAAAAATAAGTGCCATGTATGTCATTCATCATTTTTCTAGTTCAAGCCATTCAATCTATCTCGAGCTTTTCAGTTAAGCTACATTTTTCATATAGTATGTGTCTAAGAATTTTCAGACCTTCAGTATGATTTTCTTCCTCATTGTTAATTTTTAAATCGATTTTTGATTTCAAATCTTTGAATACATAAAAAATTAACAAAATATTTATTTCTGACAATACTATAAACCAAATCTGAAAATTGAATTCAATCCTTGCCTACGTAAACATCTAAACTTTGAACTATTCAACTGAACTACAACGATCAGATATCTCCTCCTGTCTCTAGCACGAACAAAAAATTACATATGAAGAGGATAATATTTGAAATATGTAAAAAGTTTTTCAATAATTTCAGTAAATCTTCAAGTTTGACACTAATTGCTTCTAA